AATTTACCCTCCAGTTCACTAGTAAATTGTAGTCCTTATTCAATGTTTCCATGGATATGACAAGTTCTATGAGTTTTCTTACAGATGAATAAAACAAACTTGTCTTTCTCTTGTTCTGAAACTTCTGCCTTAAATTTTTCAGAAGAACTTGTCACTAAGTAACTGCCAAAAATGAGTTGAAATATGATAATAAAGGTTCAAGCTCATGTTTTAGGATCATAGCTACGAACTTACCTTGATCTTGGCTGCTTCAGATCTGGCCCCCAAGTGCCGACACTATTGGGACTTAGTAGAACCTTCATCTTGCTTCTCATTTTTCTGTCTTTAAAAGTTCCTGGTTCTAATGCTTAAAATGTGAGTAATAATGTTATTGAACTGTATGTAGACTACAATAAAATGTTGTTGGAATGAATTAACTATCATAGTGAGAAATCAATCGATGCTGACTTTTAATTGATTCAGTGAGTTTGTCTGTTAAAAATGCTTCTGAAACAATAATTTTCCAACATGTGGTTTTGTTATTCCACACGACAAGAGAGCTTCTGCTAAGTTTCATGAATGGCTTATTTTTATCTGTCTACATGTATGTTTATTGAATATCTAGCTGAGTGCAGACGAGCATGCCCAACGTTACATGAAATCTGTAGTGCACACCATCACAGGTAGAAGGCTGTGTTGTTATCTTCATAAGCTGTCTTTCCATATGGCAACTTTACAGCTTTTCTTGGGCATGTCAGAATTAGAAAAAAAGTGAGCATAGGATATACTCAGAGGAACTGTAATAAATAATTTCCTTCTTTTTCAAACTTAGTTTTCCTTCCTGATACATTTATTCCATAACCACATGAGAGGAAGAGGAAGGAAAGGAGGAATGGTATGACCAGTGGACTCTGTCTCACTTCAGGCTCAGCAATCTTTTATGATCATGCACATTCTTACCTTGATTTTCCAAGAGTTACCTACAACCAGCCCTGGAACCTGGTGAAGGTGGAGTGTCCTGCATCGATTTTCTGGGAACATCTTTTGGCCTTCATTACTCTCAAGCTGGGGTGTTTTTTGTTTTTTTTGGTTCTGGAAAGAGAAAAGATCAACAATTTGGTGTATTGCTACTGACTCAAAGATGAGTTTATATATAATATGGTTCTTTCTCAAAGGGTTCTAGGCTTATGCACAGGTCCTTTTAAATTCAGGAGCAGAAGGCCTGATCAGAGGATGCAGTCATTCACTGTTCTAGGTGAGAAGAACGTCTGATACTGAGTCGCTAACACTGGAAAATAGGAAAACGAAGCACAGAGATCTTGAAGATGAGTTAGAGTTCTTAATAGTGATATCTTTGAGGGGTACTAGAGTTGTACGGGAACAGGTGTATTCATGACAGCATTGTGAATATGGGTCTTAGCTGACTGTGCAACATCTAAGCCAGTATAGGTCGAGGGGCCAAAGACTGTGTCCTCCTAAGGAACTCTTGCATCCCCAGCAGAACCCCCAGGAAGGTACCTCTTGACAGTTGGAACTTGGCAAACTAGGAAGCTAACAGATTCCTTACACTTTCTACCCGTCTTCCCATCTCTGATCACCTTTTCCATGGGCCAAAGATGCATCTTTCCAGTGAATTTCCCACCTCTTCCCTGAATGTTCCATGATCCTTCAATAGAGTGAATTTTCAACCCCTCAATAAATTTATATGATAGCCATCACTCTGTAGATTCAAGGACAGAGACATAGGCAACAGGAACTTAATGTTTTACTGGCAAGTCAGGAAAGAGACAAGTAGCCAAATGTGTGAACCAGACAGTGTGAAGACCACAGACAAAGTAATGTGATAGAGAGAGAGCCAGGTAGGAGTGGGCCAGAAGGGGTTAGAAGTCCTCCTTAGAGGCTGAAATATGACATCTGATTTCAGACTCAACTGCCTAGGAGAAGCCAACCACATAAATCTCAAGAGAAAAGTACCCAAGGAAGAGGGAACAGTATGCTCAAGGTAAAATGAGCTTGGCATAGGTGAGATGATGAAAGAAGGCATGTGTAGAGAAAGTAGTGAGGAGGCGATATCTATATGACATTGCGGGGCATTTATAGACCATGGCAGGACTTCCAAGTTTATCCAAGCATAACTGGAATCTTTTGCAGATTCCAAAGGCAAAGGAAAAGGAGAATTTGATCGGCATTTAAGAGACAGATGGACAGGAGTAGAGGCAAAGATAGTGGATGATTGGTGATCTGTGGAGATGTTGGTGGCTTGGGTTGGGGTGGTAACAGTGGAGGCTAAGTAGTGCCTAGATGTGGGAAAACACTTGCAAGAGGAAAGAAGAAAACCTGATGAAAAACCAAGCGAGAGATTTGAGAGAGAAGTCAAGATGACGTCAAGGTTTTAAAACCCTCTATGCACTGTTTACTGAAATGAGGAAGTATGACAAAGGACCTGTGTTCAGTGATGGTAGGAATCAGATGGAGATGTTATCCAGACAGCTATAGGTTAGAAGTCAGGCTGGAGCTATGCCTCTGGGATAGTTTATAAGTGGCACTTTACACTCTTTAGGGAATTTTATCAGTCAGGAACCTCAGGGTTCTTGGTTAGAGCCCAGAGATGGGGAGGATACAAAAGAGGAGGCTGAGAAAGAATGGGCAGTAAGGGCTAGGACTATAACAATTGGCAGAATACTTGCCCAGCATGAATGGTGCCCTGGGCTGAATCCCCAGCATCACATAAACTATAATCTCAGCATGTAGGAGGCAGACAGTAGGATCAGAAATTCAAGGTCATTCTCAATTACACAGAAAGTTTGAGGCCAGCTTAGACTAGACCCCCTGCCTCAAAACCAAAATAAAATAAGAGCGAGAAACAAGGTTGGAGGGAAATGAGGAGAATATATTTGCCAGGAAGCCTGCCAAGAAAGAGGGAGTGGTCGAGTGTGGCTGATATATTAAATGAGAAGAGAGCTGATTTAAAGAAGGTGGAGGGAGAGGCTTTGGTGGCAAACTGGAAATGAAGCTCATCAGATAGTTCAGATCTCTTTTGTCTCTGACCAAGGAGTCTTGTGTTTCTGCCTAAATTCATAAAACCCTCCCTTGTAACTTTTTAGATTGATTGTTGTTGCCCCAACTTATCAGGTTAGTTCCCCAACTCAGACTTCTTAGCTTGAAAGAAACTAAATATGCTTTAGCTTGAGGGGATGATGAAACGCTGTTGAGGAGGGTCCACTACCAGGGTCCACTACCAGGGTCCTGTAGAAAACAACAGAAACAAACACAAAGGAGCGGAGACAAGATTAGGGGACACATGGAACCACAGTTTTCCTTTCTTTCTCTCTCCCTTCCTCCTCATCTGTTTTCCTTTCTGTCTTCCTTCTATGACGGGAGATGTTACTTCATGTCTCTGTGCTAATGGGGACAATCCAGAAGAAAGGAACACGTCTGATGCTGAGAGGAAGAAGGATGGAATTTGGCTGCACTGAATGCAGTGACCATGGATTTTAGGCAAAGCAATCCCTCTATATCCCTAGACTCACACTGCCCTGCACTTGTGCACGCAAAATTGTTGTGACTTAAATGAATGAGGCTGTAACTGGAGTTATCTAACCAACCATGAAAGCTGGAGAGAGAATTACATGATCTGAGGAAGCAATTGTAAAGCACTATGTAAATAATCCATGAGCTTGGAGACTGGCAGGGCAAAAGTAATTGTAGAACATGACCTCTTCGGTGTCTGCATCCCTTCTAAGCCATCTTTGCACCATCCTGCTCCTGTGGAGCCACAATCAATGGATTTCAGGAAAATATAGGCCGAGTCAGGTGCTGAGTAACATGGGATATAGACGTTGACTTTCTAGTGGCAGATATAAAGTGGAGAAATCAGGGCATATTTAAAAAATAATTTTGTGGAAAAATGTTTTAATAATTCATATTGGTTATCTAAGTTGGCAAGTCAGCCAAATAATTATTTGTTCAATTTTGAAATTTCAGACAGATCTGGTAGATTGTGCTTTGAATTCTTAATTTGGGTCTGTTGTGGTTTAGACATTTATAGAAACTCTTGTTCATCTTTGTGTGTGTGTGTGTGTGTGTGTGTGTGTGTGTGTGTGTAAATACATATGTGTGTCCCAGTGCATGTAGAGATCACAGGACAACTTCAGGTATTGTTCTACAGGAACTGTTTACCTTGAGTTTTATTTATTTGTGTGGGGGGGTCTGCACATGCCATGGTGTGCATGTGGAAGTCAGAGGATAAGTTATGGGACTCAGTTCTGTCTCTCTGCCATGTGGGTCCCAGGGATTGTACTCAGGTTGTGCAGTTCAGTGACAAGTGCCTGTACCCTTTACTCACCGAGCCTTTCACCAGCTCTCACCTTCTTCAGGGTCTCACCGGCCTGGAACTCATCCACTTGTCTTTTCTTCTCCAGCACTGGAATTGCAAGTATGTACCATCACTCCCAGCTTTTTATATGAGTTCTGGGGATTGAACTCAGGTCCTTGAGCTTGTAAAGAGCACACTGTATTGACTGAACCCTTTGCTTCTCTTAAAGGAGGGAGTTGTTGGTCTTGAGAATGCAGTGATAATAGGCAAGTTTTTAGCACTTTTCACCAGGCAGGTCCTGTCACAAGAACTTTACACCATCACATTTATTCCTTACAACATCATATTTACTGTTACTCCCTCCATTTTTTGGATGAGCAAAAGGTTTAGAGATATTAAGTAATGTCCCCAAGGTGACAGAGCTGAAAATGGCAGAGCTGGGATCTGAATCCAGAAGTCGGTCCAGGACCTCTGCCTTGACCTCTCTGTTATGTTATCTCATGGTGCCCAGAGCAAGAGTAAACAGAATGAGCAAACACGAATCTCATTCTGAAACTGCGTGCTGTAATTATGCTTCTTCTCTGCTGTTTGTGGATTTCCCTGGTATGGAAAACAAGTCCCAACTCAAACAAAAACAATGCTATTACTCTCTTGACTCTTAAAAATCATTCAACAATTGAAATTCTAAATTCCATTTCTGGTGAGGCTCAGCAGAGGCAGGAGGTGATCAGCTCTCCCCGTTTCTGAATAAATGTCACAGGTAATGTCCTTAAATTGTCCATGGGAAACTTCTGGTTAAAGACTCCCTTATTTTATTTACTTTTTCTCTCTTTTGACTGTGAACGCTTTAAACAAATCTCAAGCCTGTGATGACTTAGGTTCCTTCCTGGTGGAATGTGATGCTTTGTGGCTTCCTCTAAGAGTCAGTCTCCATCACGGCAGAGTATATGTCCATCTTTGTGTAGCCACGTCTTCCTAATGTTGGGTCCAGTGTGTTGAGTAAATATGAGTCAACGAATAAGTAATTCTACCATTTACATTCAATTCTTCTTTGAAATTTTCCTCAATGCATATTAACAAAATGAATGTTACTATGTCTTCTGTTTGAAGGCTTGCTTTTTCCTATCTGAAAATGTGTGGCTATTGCAGCATAGTCACAACAGCCAACACATGAAATCAACTTGTGTTCATCAACAGATAATTGATAATTAATATGAAATTTAAGAGTGTATAAATATACACCTGAGTATACACACAATAGAATATTATTTAGCCTTAAAAATATGAAAATTCTCTCATGATTGAACACAGAGGATATTATGCTAAGTGAAATAAACTGGCATAGAAAGACAAATACTACATGATTTAACTACATGTGAATTCCAAAACATTGAATTCAAATAAATATAGAGTAAAAGGGTGGTTACTAGAGTTTGAGGGTACAGATGTGGTCAAAAGAGAGAAGTTGACCAAAAAGTTCAAAGTTCTGTTTTGTATCAATAAGGCTCAAAGAACCATTGCACAACAAGATGACCATAGTTGATAGAATATAATATGCTTAAAATTGATAAAAATGTTTTCACTACAAAAAGATTAGTATATGAGATGATGGATATTAACCTAATATAAATATTTTTGGGTGCTGGAGAGATGGCTCTGTGGTTAAGAGTACTGACTGCTCTTTAACAGAGGACCTGGATTTGATTCCCAGCACCCGCATGGTAGCTGACAACCATCTAGTTCCAGGGAAATCTGATGCCCTCTTTTGACCTCCATGGGCATTGCACCACACAGGTGCACTTATACACATGCAGGCAGTACACTCATACCCATAAAAAACAAAAGGTCCATGATGTGTTTATACATCAAAATATCACATTACATCCCATTAATGTATGCAATAATTATTTATCATTTTAAAATAAAATATGAACATTATTCCATTTCAATATATGTATTTTGAAATATTTTATTATTTTTTATTTTATGTGTATGAGTGTATTGCCAGCATGTATGTAAGTGCACTCATGTTGTGAAATGCCCATGGAGGTCAGAAGAGGGCACAAAATTCCCTGGAACTGGAGTTATAGAGGGTTGTTAGCTGCCATATGGGTGCTGGGAATTGTACCTTGGTCCTCTGCAAGAGCAGCAGTGCTCTTAACCACTGAGCCATCTCACCAGCCCCAATATCTGTATTTTCTGTAACGTGTTTCTATGTTTAGGTGTATGTGGAGGCCAAAGGTTGACACTGTGTGTCTTCCTCAATTCTCCCCACCTTATTTTTTCTGACAGGGTCTCTCCCTGCCCTTGGAGCTCATTGATTCCACTAAACTGACTGGCCTGCAAGCCCCAGGATCCTCTTGTCTCTACCACCCTAATGCAGCAATTACAGGTGCACCTCGGTTTTTAAGTAGGTGCTAGGGATCCAACTCAGGTCCTCATGCTTGTGCAGCAAGTACTCTGCCAACTGAACCATCTCTCCACCTCTGTCTTCTATAGTTTTCTATATGTCGGTATTATAATTTTCCTACTGTTGGTCACATTTTTCACGTTTCTTTACACTTTAAATAAAATTGCAAAGAAAAGATGTGTAGATGATTTCCTGCACAGTTCCTCTTTTCTGAAGGCTGAATTGCCAGAAAGGGCATTGCTAGGTCAAATATTATGCATTTTTAAAAGTCCCACCCCCCAATTTTCCTCTGGAATGCATGGATCACCTTGATATAGAACGTCTTTTTCTAAACAGCCTCATTACTGGCAGGTTTCTCTTCTCAAAGATTTTTTTTTGTCATTATCTTGAAGCATTATATCACAGTTTTAATTTACATCTATTTCTGTTCTTTTGATTCCAGGCATTGCAAGAAGTGTAACAGGAATGATATTTTTGAAATATATTAATGTTCTTTTCCTTTTTGTGCTTCCTTTTACACGATTCGTCTCCTATCCAGCCAGAGGCATCCAGTGCTTTGGGGGAAGCATAAGACTCTTAATAATGGAATGAAAAGGGAAAGAAATGTTCAACATCTACCTTTTGAATTCTAAAATAGGACTTCTGATCTGTGTTAAGATAATTGTCTTAAAAGACAGGGTCTCTTTAAAAAGTAAACTTTTAAAATAGAATATAATGTACTCACAAAGAGTGATACAGGTTCTAAGCTCTGATGTGATGCCTTTCGCACCTTGAATGTAAATCCAGGCACTGTAGTCTCAGAGAGGATCATGGCCAATCCCCACAGACTCTGCCCCACTCAGTCTCCCTTCCAGCACCATAGATTGACTTATCCAAACAAAATGATTCACTCAGTATGTGGGTTATGATCTGGATTCTTTCTCTTCGAATTAGATTTATGAGACTTACCGTGTTACTGTGTATGGTATTACATTGTGCAATTTATTGATGACTATGCCGTTTTATAAATATGTCACAGTTTATCTTTTCAATTCAGTTAATGAAAACTACAGGTACCAATACTTATTACTGTGCCTTAAAATATTTAGCTGCATGATTGCATGTATAGCAGTATTGGATCTTAGGGTGGTTTTAATTTGCATTTCCCTACTGATTAATGACATCAACCACTAGCCAACTTTTCATATACTTGTTGGTTAGGTATGTATCTTCTTTTTGTAAAGTGCTTATTCGAGAGGGTTTTCTTTTTGTTCGTCTCCTTGCCCATTAAAGTCATTTTCTTATTGATTTGTAATAGCTCTTTACACATTTGGATATACATGCTTTGTTAAATAAGTATTTTGTAACTTTTTTCACTATTGGTTTGTCTTTCTACTTTTAAAGTGTCTTGTCATTAAAACTCTTAATTAATTATTTTTTTTGCATGTGAAACATGCTTTGTTAAATAAGTATTTTGTAACTTTTTTCACTATTGGTTTGTCCTTCTACTTTTAAAGTGTCTTGTCATTAAAACTCTTAATTAATTAATTTTTTTGCATGTGAATGTGTTGTGTGTGTGTGTGTGTGTGTGAGTATGGTGTGTGTGTGTGTTTGCTGGTGTGTGCAACTGTGTGCCTTTGTGTGCATGAAGGTCAGAGAGGATGTTGGGTGTCTCTCACTCTTCCTCTTATTCTTTCACTGAACCTGGAGTTAGACTGGTGGCTGTCAAACCCCAGGGATCCTCCTGTCTCTGCCCTCCACAGCACTGGGTTATGCTGTTTTTAAACATGGGTGCTAAGATCTGAACTCAGGTCGTCATGTTTGTGTAGTAAGGGATCTTAGCCACTGAACCCCATCTCTAGCACACACCCCTCATTCTTAATGTTAAAGAGATCTTCTTTATTGCTCTTTTCCTTTATGATTTGTGATTTTGTATTTTGCATGAGTATTGCCTAGTTAAGGTCAGAAGATATTCTCTTAAGTTGTCTAGAAGCTTTGTAGTTCTATTTTCTTATTTATAAAATCCACCTAATGCTAACTCCTGCATATGAGCCAAAGCAAGGGGTCAAGATTCACTTTTTCCTTTTATGGACATTCTAGTTACCCACCACTCATCATTAACATGGGCTCTGAGCTGACAGTTTTTTGGCCTCCTCTGTGGACTTCTTACAAGTTAATTGATGCCTCATTAGGTAGAGGCAGAGAGAGTCAAGTTTCCTCAACTGTGTTCTCTTTGGGTTTCTGGTCTCTCAAGTCTGGAATGCCTTGGTTGTTCTTAGATGGCTTCAAGCAGCTGTGCAAAAATAGTGGTGCAAAACTTTAGACAATTTCTGTATGTTTTAGAGTGGAGTTTTGGTTGATTCAAGCTACTCTGTTTTAGCTAGAAAGAGAATCCCAAAGAAGCTAGGCTTTCTTGTAAAAGAGAAAGACTTTCTCTATTTTATAAAGCTCCCCATACATATGGCAGGCAGGTTTGATGAATCTATGTATAATAGTTTTATTGTAAGTCATGGTGAAGAGGGACAGAAGAACATGAGAGAGGTGTGCTCAGATAGGAGGAGGATGCAGAAGAAATGTCACCGTGGAAGAAAGGGGAAGATTCTGAGGAGCAAAGACATGGTGATAATGCAGCCAGCATTCCTTAGGAATCCTGTCCTCACTGACTTGGGCTTTAGCTTAAGAATTCATGGAGTTAGGGACTGGCAAGATGGCTCATTAGTTAAAGGTGCTTGCCACCAAGTCTGATGACTTGAGTTCAGGGGACCCACATGGCGGGAAGAAAGAACTGATTTCAGCAAGTTATCCTGTGATTTCCACACATGCATCATGGCATATAGGCATGAACGGGCACACACATAGACAAAATAACAAATAATGGGCTGAAAAGGTGACTCAGTCCTTAAGAGCACTTGCTGTTCCCAGCACCCACATTGTGGCTCACAACCATTCCTAACTCCAGTTCCAGGGTATCTGATGCTCTCTTCTGGCCTCCTCAGGTACCAGGCACGCACATAGTGCACATACATACATGCAGGCAAAACACCCATTCACATAAAAATAAAGAAATCTAAGAGTTATTTTGAAAAAGAATAGAAAAGAATCTCTGCATCTCAAAAACAAAAATAAATGTATTTCAAAAACAATTCATGGAGATAAATAGATAGATCTTAGAGTCTAGAGTGAAAAGAGAAACTAGAAACCAGAATAAAAGCACAATTTACCAGAATATGACATTCAAATGGTAAGCAGAATGGAAAACTCTATTTTTAGGCACAAATATCCATATTGTTAATTCATGCAGAAAAGTAAAAGAATGATAAACAGTTAAGGGACTGTCACCTGGGTGGAGGCGGGGAGGAGGGCAGCTTGGG